CAGATGCACAGTTGAAAACACTGGTAATCAGGATGCTTAAAGAATTGGTTGAATTTGGTTGCAAATTCGATGAAAAAATGAAGGCCATGCTAAGTGAAATAAAGGAAAATGTACAGGAAACCATTAGTGATGGAAAGGAAACTGGGACTCAAATCAATGGAGTGGACAAGAAGGAAGAAAGAAACACCCAATCAGAAAAGAATGAAGAAACAAGAATTCAAAACAATGAGGAGAGGCTTAGGAAATTCCAGGACATCTCTACAGTTCCAACATCTGAATTATAGGGGGACCAGAAGGGGAAGAGGAAGAGCAACAAGTGGAAAAGTTATTTGAACAGATAATAAAAAAGAACTTCCCCATTCTGGCAAAGGAAATAGATTTCCAAGAGGTCCAGGAAGCTCAGAGAGTCTCAAAGAAGTTGGACCCAAGGAGGAACACACCAAGGCACATGATAATTACATTGGCCAAGATTAAAATGAAGGAGAAAATCTTAAAAGCAGCAACAGAAAAGGAGACAGTTTCCTACAAAGGAGTTTCCATAGACTGTCAGCTGATTTCTCAAAGGAGACCTAACAGGCAAGAAGGGGCTGGAAAGAAGTATTCCAAGTCATGAAAGTCAAAGGCCTACATCCAAGATTGCTCTATCCAGCAAAGCCTTAATTTAGAATGGAAGGGCAGATAAAGTGCTTCCTAGATAAGGTCAAGTTCAAGGAGTTCATCATCACCAAGCCCTTACTATATGAATGTTAAAGGGACTTATCTAAGAAAAAGAAGATGAAAACTATGAGCAGTAAAATGACAACAAAGTCACAATTATTAACAACCAAACCTAAAAACAAAAACAAAAACAAACTAAGCAAACAGCTAGAACAGGAACAAAATCACAGAAATGGAGATAACATGGAGGGTTATCTACAGGGCAATTGGAGGAGGAGAGAGGGGGAAAGGTACAGAGAATAAGTAGCATAGATGGTAGGTAGAAAATAGGAGGGCAAGAATAGTATAGGAAATGTAGAAGCTAAAGAACTTATGATATATGGACATGAACTAAAGGGGGGAATATGGGTGGGAGGGGAGTGCAGGGTGGATGGGCGTGAAGGGGGGAATGGGACAACTGAAATAACGTAATCAATAAAATATATTTTTAAAAAATCCTCAGCTGGGGACATTCTTTACCCTTGCTTTTTTTAAAAAAAAATATTTTCTTTATTTATTTTTCGAGAGAGGGGAAGGGAAGGAGAAAGAGTGGGAGAGAAACATCAATGTGTGGTTGCCTCTCATGCGTCCCCTGCCGGGAACTGGCCTGCAACCCAGGCATGTGCCCTGACTGGGAATCGAACCGCGATACTCTGGTTCACAGGCCCGTGCTCAATCCACTGAGCCACGCCAGCCAGGGCTACCCTTGCTTTTAAGGACAGGAGACGGGAGAGAGAAACATCAATCAGTTGCCTCCCATATACACCTGGACAGAGGATTGAACCCACAACCTAGGCATGTGCTCTAACTGAAAATTGAACCCGCAACCTTTCAGTTATGGGACAATGTTCCAACCAAGTGAGCCATACCAGCCAAGGCAAACAAGGATAAATTTCACATTTGAAGGAAGCAAGACATAACCTATATAAGTAGCATTATTTCATTTACATAAAACTCAAAATCAGGCCAAACCAAACATTTGTGTGTGGGGTTAAATACACAGCAATAAAACAATAAAGAAAGGTAAAAAAAATAAATTTCACTTAAGGAAACAAAAAAGGACCCCCTGCCAAAGATGTCAACGTGCTAATCTCTGGAGCCTGTGAATGACAAAAGACTCAACAGACATGATTAAGGATTTCGAAGTGGAGAGATAGAGCATCCTGGATTGTTAGGTGGGCTCAATGTCATCACACGCATCCTCAAAAGAGAGGAGCAGGAGGGTCAAGATCAGAGGAAGGAATGTGACGGAGACAGAAGGTTGAACAACAGAGGCAGAGGTGGGAGAGGCCAGAAGTCCAGGAATCTGTAAGCCAGGGAATGCAGCCCCTTGAGACTGGAAAAAAGGCAAGGAATGAATTCTCCCCTGGAGACTGCAGAAGGGACACAGCTTAATCTCATTTATAACTCAGTGAAACTGCTTTTGGACTTCTGGCCTGCAGCCAGTAGGTCTGTGGTACTTCCTTATAGTAGCAAATGGAACACACAGGCAAGAGAGTGGTACCTCTGTGGAGAGGAAGACAGTAGTGGTGAGAACGGCACATGTACAGTGCGGCCGGTACTCCAGTTCTTGACCTGACTGGTGGTGGTTCAAGGATGCTCACTTAAAGGATCTGTGCATACAGGATCTGTGTACTCTTCTGTGTACAATAACATTTAAAAAAGATAAAACCAAGCCCTGGCTGGTGTAGCTCAGTGGATTGAGCTCGGGCCTGCGAACCAGACAATTGCAGTTAGATTCCCAGTCAGTGCACATGCCTGGGTTGCAGGCCAGTTCCCAGTGGGGGGTGCACGAGAGGCAACCATACATTGATGTTTCTCTCCCTCTCTCCTTCCCTTCCCCTCTAAAGATAAATAATTAAAAATCTGAAAAAAAGATAAAACTATCATAGACCTAAAAGTAAAACCGAAAACTTCTGGAAAGAAACATAAGAGAAAATCTTGGTGAGCTTGGGTTAGGCAAAGGTTTCTTAGATATGAGGCCAAAGCATGATCTATAAGAAGACAAACTGATACATTTGACTTTATAAAATTTAAAAACTTCTTGTTCAAAAGGTATAGTTCAGAGAATGAAAAGGCAAGCCCCATATTGGGAGAAAATATTTTCAAAGCACATTTCCGATTACAACAAAACTTATACCCAAAATATGTTCGGAACTCTCAAACTCAATGTGAAACAAACAACCCAGGAGGAAAAAGAGGCAGAAGACTTGGACTGACTTCACCCAGTACGCAAGATGGCAATAAGCACAGGAAGGGTGCTCAGCAGGGTTAGTCACTGGGGAAATGCGAGTTAAAATAACGAGATACTTCTACATGCCTAATAGAATGGCTGAGATGGAAAAGACTGACCATATCAAGTGCTGATGAGGATGCGGAGGAACTGGAACTCTTGTACCCTGTTGGTGGGAACGTACATGGTACCACCACTTTGGAAAACATTTTGGCAGTTTCTAAAAAACTCTATACACCTATCATATAATTCAGATACGCTACTCCTAGGGCTTTGCCCAAGAGAAAAAGCATATGTTCGTTTATACAGTGAACTGTACATCAATGTTCATAACAACTTTATTTGTGAAATTCAAAATGGAAACAACCCAAATGTCCACCAGCAGGTGATAAACAAATGGTGGTATATCCATTCAATGGAATACTACTTACCAATTTCCTGAGAAAAAATGGGCTGTTGATACACCCAACAGCATGGATAAAACTCAAAATAACTGTTCTGAGCAAAAGAAGCTAGATTCCTCTCCTCAAAAAAGAATATATACTATGTGATTCCACTGAATATAAAACTCCAGAAAATGCAAAGTAGCCCCGCTGGTGTGGCTCAGCAGCATCAGCCCGATCTCTGCTTTTGTGTTCACACGATGTACTTCCTGTGTGCACACCTGTGTGTATGCACAGACACCAGTCCCACTGGATGAGGACCTACCCTAAGGATTGCATTAAAAATTTTTTAAAATTTATTTTCAGAGAAAGGGAAAGGGAGAGAGAAAGAGAGGGAGAGAAACGTCAGTGTGTGGTTGCCTCTCACATGCCCCCTACTGGGGACCTGGCCTACAACCCAGGCATGTGCCCTGACTGGGTATCAAAGAGGTGACCCTTTGCTTCACAGTTCAGTGCTCAATTCACTGAGCCACACCAGCCAGGGCCCTAATGACCTCACTTTAACTTGACTAGCTCTGTAACGATCCTGTCTCCAGATAAAGGCACAGTCTTCAGTCTTGGGGATTAGCACTTCAACATATAAATTCTTTTATTAACAATGGAATTTATTGGGGTGACATCAGCTAATAAAATTACGCAGATTTCAGGTGTACAGTTCTACAACACATCATCTACATGCTATATTGTGTGTTTACCACCCCGAGTCAACTCTCCCTCCATCACTTAGTATATTACTTCTGCAGAACAGATGCAATCTACAATAGTGCACAAATTGGGAAACGTGAAACGTGGTCTTAAGCAATCCACTAATTTATATAGTCTACACTTAAAAAAAGACTTTATTTATTTTTAGAGAGGGGAAGGGAGGAAGAAAGAGGGACAGACACATCAGTGTGTGGTTGCCTCTTGCACGCCCCCTACTGGGGACCTGACCCGTAACCCAGGCATGTGCCCTGGCTGGGAATCAAACCAGCCTTCCTTTGGTTCTCAGGCCAGCACTCAACCCACTGAGCCACACCAGCCAGGGCTTAGTCTATGCATTTTGTTGAGCACCTATTTTGTGTCAGTCACAAAAAAGACAAAAATCTGCCTTCATGGAGCTTCCAGTTGAGTTCGGGAAACAGCATACCCTGAATCAGTAATGATGAATACGGAACTGAGGACAGGGTGGAAGCTGGTTTCAGCATAACATACCCCGGGACTCTGGTGTCATCGGGGCTCATTCTCACTATCTCTCAGTCTCTTGTCTCCACTGTGTCTACTGGCCTTGTTCTCCCAGGATGCTCGGTGCAATGGGGACTGTGACAAAGGAAGTCCCAGAGTCCCATCCATCCAGCTCATGCGCTTCCCTCCAAATACCAGGAAAGGGTGCAGGCTGGCTCAGCCCGGGTCACACATCCATCTCCAGGCCAGCCCCCTGGGTCATGTGGCTGTCAGGGTGGCTTGTTGCTGTTGGAAGCCAGATCCACATGGAAGGTTGGGGGCTGTCAGCAGAAGAGCAGAGTAGGTGGCTGGGGCCACGAGGATGGCAGTGTCAGCCATGCTCAGCCACACCCTCATCTCTTTCCCTGCTCTTCCGATCTCCCCCATATTCAGTCAGGAAACAACCACCCTCTGCTTCCCTCCAGATCCAGGAGTGGGAGATGCGGATTTCTGTCCTCAGTAGGGAGTGCAAGGCCCCAGGAGTCCTCCTGGATCAGAAGGCCAAGGTCCGGAGAAGGATCAAGGTCATGGAGGACCAGCTGGACAAGGTGAGGGGGCAGCCTTGTGGCTCTTTCCAGGCCTGAGTGCTGGGTTTGGGGGAAGGGTGAGCACAGGGTCAAGTTCTGGGAACAGTGGACCAGGTTCCTGGATGTGGGAAGGCCTGAGACACTGACGGGGTCCAGAGACAGGGTCCCGGAGGGGAAGGAGGGTCCCCAAGGAAAGGAGACTGATGTTTGTGCTCTTAAGGTAGGCCTGGGCGGTCCTCTAAGGGTCCCCAAACTGGAAACGGGCCCCCTATCTGACAGGCTCCTCCTCCTTGCCTCCTATCCCACACCCTGCCCCCCAGGTCACCTGTCGCTTTGACATCCAGCTGGTGCGGAATGCAGCCCTGAGGGAGGAGCTGGGTATCCTGCTGATTGAGAGGAATCACTACATGAACGTAGACCGCAAGCTGCAGAAGGTCAGGGGCCCTCCAACCCAGGACGCCTGGGCCTTGCTGGGTGGGGGAGAGGGCAAGAGTCGCCCTGCCTTTCTCTAATACTCAGGCCACAAATACCGAATGGATGGAGCCGTGGGTTTACTTTGGTTCAGAGGGAGTGGGGGCCTGGGAAGTGGTTCAGGACGCCTCCGGAAAAGAAAGCAGAACCTGGCTTGTGCGGCTCAGGTGGCTGAAGTATCACTGAATATACCAGAAGGTTGTGGTTCCCTGGTCAGGGCACATACACAGGTTGCCGGTTATATCCCGGGTCGCAATACATGGGAGGCAACCGATCAGTGTTTCTCTCCCACATCGACGCTCTCTCTCTCTCTCTCTCTCTCTCAGTCTCTGTCCCTCTCCTCCACCCCCTCTGGAGTGAGTGGACATATCTTTGGGTGAGGATTATAAAAAGAGAGAGAGAGCACTGACCAGTATGGCTCAGTAGGCTGGGCGTCATCCTGCAAAGCGAAAGGTCACAGGTTGGATTTCCAGTAGGAGCCGGGGCTGCAGGTTTGCTTCCAGGTCAGGGCACGTGAGAGTCAACCAATCAATGTTTCTCTCTCACATCGATGTTTCTCTGCCTCTCTTTCTCCCTCCTTTCCCTTCTCTCTAAAAATAAATGAATAAAATCTTAAAAAGAAAAGAAAAGAAAGCAGAGATGTCCTTTTGACTGTCATCACCCAGGGCAATCAGTGAGCAAGCCCAAGCATTTCCGCCCCATGGGTTTCCCAGCAACCATCAAGGTCCTCTGAAGAATCCCCCTTCCTCCCTCTAGTTTCCCTTCTCTGCAAAGACAGAACAAAGAACTACTTATCCTTCACTTGGATCGATAATTTGCCACATTTACTCTGTGTAATTATTATTTCTACTGAAAATAATTTATTATTACATTTGCTAAACTACTGGAGGGTCCAGAGCAGACACGAGGTCTCTAAGAACTTCCGTGTGTATTTAATACAAACAAGACCATTTTCTTAGTAAACACAGTGCTATTCTCCAAGTCAGAGACTTTAACAGCGTTACAGTTCTAAACGGTCTACGTTCCGAGTTCCAGATTGTCCCAGTGACGACCTTTGCAGCTAATTTGATTTTTGGGTCTAGGTTGCAGGCCGGGCACCCACGTTGTCCTGGCCCCGCTCGCTGCAGCGGTCCCTTGGCCCTTCTCTTCTTCATGACTTTGACGTTCTGGAAGCACCCGGGCCAGCTGTGTTGTACGAGTTCCCTCCCTACGGTGTTTTTGCTCTTTCTTTGTGATGTGAGTCAGGTCGTGTGTTTCTGGCAGATTGTCACCCAGGTGACACTGTGTCCTCTGCATGCATTATTACCAGAAGGCACATGACGTCTGTTTGGCCTGGAACTAGTGACACTGACTTTGAGCCAGGTTTTTCCGATATAGCGCGTTCCTCTCTGTAAGAAGTAAGTGGCCCAGGGAGATTTTTGGAGACTCTGTAAATATCCTGTTCATGCTCCTCTTTCAACATCCACGAATGAGCCCTGGCTGTATGGCTCAGTGGATTGAGCGCCGGACTGCGAATTGAAGGGTCTCTGGTTCTATTCCCTGATTGGGCACATGCCTGGGTTGCAGTCCAGTTCCCAGCAGGGGACCCACGAGAGGCAACCGTACATTGATATTTCTCTCCCTCTCTCCTTCCCTTCCCCTCTAAAGATAAATAAATAAAATCTTTTAAAAAAACACCCCCCCCAAAAAAAAATCCATGAATGATTCTTGTCCGAATAATTATCACTGTAATGACAGCCACCTGGTGACTTCCTAAGTCTTACTATTTCTTCTACATTCATAAGGTGGCCAGGGAAAGCCTGGCCTTCTCCCTGTGTATTTATGTGATCAGTGCACAGTCGTTATTCTTACTCTACTCTGTGGGTTAGAATCTATAGTGGTTATTATTCACAATGCTGTTCAGACTGTCCCAGGCTTGGCTAGCGGGAGCCCCTTTAAGCTCAGTTCTGGGTCCTGTGGACACACCCAGTGTTCATTCGAGCACCTCCTTTCTGGAAGATGTTCCAGATTATCTCATACTTGTTCTGTTGGGACTCTTTTTTTAAAAACAGATTTTATTTATTTTTAGAGAGAGGGGAAGGGAGAGAGGGAGAGAAGCATCAATGTGTGGTTGCCTCTCACGCGTCCCCTACTGGGGACCTGGCCCACAACCCAGGCATGTGCCCTGACTGGGTATCAAACCTGTGACCTTTCGCTTCAAAGCCGATGCACAACCAAGTCCCACTGGTCAGGGAGTGGTTTTGTTCTTTGGCTGAAATACAGTTAGGCTTGTTTGTTTGTCTTTGCATCCAGTTTTAGTTCTCATTCCTATTATTATTGGTTTCATTTTCCTTATGAATATGTAAACCAGTAACAGAGTTTCCAGATCAGAACTCCAGCAGGTATTTTTTTTGGGGGGGCGGGGAATCATTTCCTCACCCTCTCTTCCACTCCGTGCCCCCCCGGACTCTGTAGTTTCTGGTTACCCATCAGGTTTCCCGAATGTGTGTGTGTGTATGTAGTGTGCATGTGCGCATCGTGCATATGTGTGCAGCGTGTATATAGCTACACACATGTACGTGTGTCAACACATATGGGCACACATGCGTGTGCATGTCTATATTATGGTGCATATACATGGTTACATGAACGCATTATACATGTGTAAAAGTATATATAATTTCCTCCCTTTACCTCCTGAAAGAACCCTTTTTATTAAAAAACTGGGAAAGTTATTTCCATGGAAGCAGCAAGCAGATGAGTGCGGTCTCAGCGATGAACGTCACACAAATTTTGACTCGAGCAGGGAGGTGGGCGCTCTCAGCGATGTTCTGGCCCGAGCGTCTCACTTGCATAAGCCCTGCAACCCCACATCCAGCTCAGGGGTTGGGGCCTCTCTCAAATCCTTCCGCTGTTGGCAGCTGCTAACCAGGCAGCTCCATCGTCACAGGCACCTAGGTTCCCCCCGACCCTGGAGGAGTAGGGCCGAGAAAGCCCCAGAGTCCCCATGGGCGGCCTCTGCTTTGTTGCCTCGGCAGGAGGTCCGGCGCCTGCGGCACACAATCAGCACCCTCATCGTCTCCTCCACCTCCGCCTACTCCGTCAGGTAGGGCCCGCCTGGGCATGCAGGGCTGGGGCGGCCCCATCGCTCAGTCCGCAGCCTTCCTTCTTTTCTTTAAAATGTGAATATTTTATGGTTTGTGCTGTTAAGAGTTGTCCCAGTTTCCCCCCCTTTGCCTCCTTCCACCTGGCCCGCCCCCCACTTCCACGGTGAATCTCCACACCCTGGTCGTGTCCATGGGTTACACATATATATTCGGTGACTAATCTCTTCACCTTCTTTTATCCAGTCTCTCTCCCACTCCTCTCTTACAGCTGTCGGTCTGCTCCGCCTTTCTGTGCTTCTGCTTCTGTTTTGCGCATTTATTTTGCTCATTAGATTCCACTTGTAAGTGAGATCATACCAACTAGTTAGCTTACTTCACTCAGCGTAATAGTCTCCAGGTCCATCCGTGCTGTGGCAAAAGGTATGATTTCCTTCTTTTTCCTGCTGTATAGTGTTCCATTGTGTAAATGTACCACAGTTTTTTTTTATCCACTCATATACTGCTGGGCACTTGGGCTGCTTTCAAATCTTGGCTGTTGTCCATAAGCCTGCTATGAACATAGAAGTGCATACGTCCTTTCTGATGGGTGTTTCAGGATTCTTAGGGTATATTCCCAGAAGTGGAATTGCTGGGTCAAAAGGCAGTTCCATTTTGAATTTTTTGAGGAAATTCCATACTGTTTTCCACAGTGGCTGCACCAGTCTGCATTCCCACCAACAGTGCACAAACGTTGGTCCTCACCAGCACTTGTTGTTTGTTGATATATTGATGATGGCCATTCTGACAGGTGCGAAGTGGTATTTCATCGTGGTTTTATTTGCATCTCTCTGACAGCTCATGGATTGAATATTTTGTCGTGACTCTGGGTCTTCCGTATGTCCTTCTTGGAGAAGTGTCTATTCAGGTTCTTCGCCCATTTTTTTCTATTGTTTGTCTTCCTGGTGTTGAGCCCTGTAAATTCTTCACATATTCAGTCCCCGCCTTTCATAGGGCAGTGGAGGGAGGTTCCGAACTCAAGAAATTGACCATCCGAACCTCCGCAGTCTTTCCTAAGGTGCCCCTTTCTTGCCACTGATCTCCCAGCAGCCTCAGGTGTGTGAGTTAACCAGCCTCTTTGGCCCCAGCCTGTCCCTGGGGATGCACAGACGGTTAAGGGAGGGGTGCAGGCAGCCCATGCAACATTGGGCCCGGGACAGGGAGCGCCGGTGGCCGAGCGCCGTTAGCGTGGTTGACAGGGACAGACAGTCTTTCCGGCCACCGTCAGAGAGACGAGCGTGGTACGGAGGGCCCGCCCGCTCCGCTTGCCGCTTGGATGCTCCATCGCCCTCTCCCCCGACCCTGACCCGCTCGTTCTGAGCTTCAGTCCGGTTCTCTCCGTCTGCGCAGTGTCTCGTCTCTACCCCGTGACTCCTGCTTGCTCAGAGTCCGTGTTTGCTCCCGTGACCTCCGCTTGGGCGCAGATCTGCCTTATGGTCTCGGGACTTGTCGGGATGCACGCGCAACGCTCCAACCCGGTCTGAAAGTGCACGGTTCGCTTCTGTCCAGACCAAGAGCACTGCCGTCACCCCGGAGGAAACCTGTCCCCTTCGGGCAGTCACTCTTTTCCTGAAACCACGAGTTCCCTCCTGGTCTCTGGGTTTACCTGTCCCAGACTGGCTGTCAATGGTCATCGTGCACCCGTGCGACCGATTGGATCTGACTTCCTTCACTAACGCGGTGATACTGAGGCGCGGCTCTAGGGCAGCTTGGATCCGCTCTTCCCGCCTTTTCGTGACCGATCTGTCAGGACCCCTGCAGAGCCCGGCCTGGACCGCGCAGCTCGAGTTTCTTCCGGACTCCGCCTCCCTACCGCGACCTTTCGTGGCTCCTCCCTCTACATGCGTGTACTTTCAGCTCCAGGCCCCACCCTCAGCGTTTCCCGGTGAACTTCCGGAGGGAGACACTCTGACCGGTGATGCCCGCTGGCCTGTCGGTGCGTGGCCAGGGCCCAGCCCCCGCCAGCGCCCCCTCACTTGCAGTGGGCAGCCTCGCTGGGACAAGGACAGCGTGGTTTCATCTGGAAGGCGGGCAGGCACCATCCTTGCTGACACTTCCGGTCAGACCAGGCAGTGTCACCAGTGCTACCTGGGTCAGGTCATGTGTCCTCTCTCAACCTCCACGTGACGTGGCAATAATCGTGGTCTCTCCGTCACCACCGGGAGGGCGCAGAGCGCCCCCTGCAGGGCCTGGATCTTAGGTGGTGGGGCTCCCCCTTCCCTGCCCCGCAGGCGGCAGGGAGCCCAGGGCACAGAAAGAGCTGTGAGCCCTGATCCCAGAGGGGCTTCCATCAGAGGCAAGAGGGTTCCCTGGGACTGGGGCCGGTGGGTGCCACGGATCTTCCCACCTAGGAGGGCTGACCTGAGCGACCTTGAAGGACTCTGAATAGGGCAGGAAGCTGGGGCTCTGTGGGGAGGCCACCAAAGCCACCAAAGGTGTGGAGGTGAGAGTGCGGATGGTGCACGGGCAGGGACCGGAGGAGACTGGCCCCTGCTCTCCCAGCCCAATGACCGTCTGAATTTTTCCTGTGACCTGGGAAGGACGCTCAGGGCCACTGAAAAGGCTAGAAGCTCCATTTTCAGATGCGCAAGCCAGGGGAGGTACAGTGAGTGAGGCGTCCAGGATGTCCCCACTGTCCTCACAGGGCACGCTCCAGTGCTGCTGGTGTCCCCTACCCATCCAGCATGAGGTCCTGAATGGTCCAGGCCCCTTATATTTCCAAATACGCGACCCCCAGACTGTAGCACGATGACCTCATCCCTGGGCGCCCCCCCAACATGGTCCCAACATCCTCTCTCACTGTGCCGTCCTGGTCCTCTCACCTCTCGTTCCTCGGGTCACACAGTCAACGCCGCCTCCCAGATGCCCCTGTGCACTTCTAACCAGGGAAGAGCTTCAGGCTATAATAAGGAATTGGATGCATTTATCTGAGCAAAAGGATTACAATCTGGCAGATTGCAGACACAGGTAGCAACTCAGCTGGCTCTGGAGGGAAGGGAGAAAGGCAGGTTTGTAAAGGCAACACCCACCAAGTGTACTTCTCTCACGCCAAGGAAGGCCCCGGGAACGTGAGGAGGAAATCGAGTGCATAATGTGCCAGGGGAAAATAATTGAGTTTCTCTCCCTCTCTCTTTCCTTCCTGTATTAAAAATCCGTGTACCAGCCCCTGTGCCAGGATGTTTATGGCTCCAGGCTGTCTAAAGCTCAGCGTTGAGCTGGGTTTAGCAACAGGTTTAGCAACTTAATAGCAACTCTGAGGACTGGGGCAGAAGACGTTCACCGGCCCCACTTCCCTGACAACCTCCGCTAACTGAAGCAACTCTCTTAGCAATGCCTGCTCCGTTTTATCCTGTCTCTTGTCAGCGTGCGGTGCAGCAGCTCCCCTTACAGGGCCTAGCACCTCCCCCCAGGCCCCGACTCTGCCCCATAAGCGCATCCTGACCCATCTCTAGCACCCAGAAAGTTTTCTGCCTTTTGTGATCTCTCGGTAACCCGGTCCCTGGGACCCCAGACTGACCCTGTCCATCCACCCCGCGACCCCAGACTGAACCCACTATCCCTGGGAAACCCAGATTGACCCCGCCCATTCCGGAGACCCCAGGCTGGCCCCAGCCCACCCTCTGATCTCCCTGACCTGGCTGACCTCCCTCAGGGAGGAGGCGAAGACCAAGATGGACATGCTGCGGGAGCGGGCGGACAAGGAGGTGGTCCAGAACCAGATGGAGGTGCAGACCCTGCAGCGGCATATTGCGCATCTGGAGCAGCTGCACCGCTTCCTCAAGCTCAAGAACAACGATCGGCGTCCGGATTCGGCCGTGGTGGAGAAGCGCGAGAGACGGGGTGAGGCCCGGGACGCTGCCTCCACACCCCACAGGCCAGGTCCCCCCCACCCTCACTGCCCCGGCCCGGCCGAGGGGCACAGCGCCAATCTCCAGGCCTTGCTCAGAGCACAGGACCAGAGAGGCCTGCAGAGGGCGCTAGAGAGCGCGAGGGTAGCGTGTAGGGGGCAGTGTTTGCAGGGCCTGGCGGCGACCCCGCCCCCCAGTCAGGGCGCTCAGGGGCCTTCGCTCACTCCGAGAGCCCCCTCTGGGCTAGCGGCCGCCCGGGACTCGGACCTCAGCGCCCCTCTCCCTCCAGCCCGGGAGGTGGCTGAGGGCCTCCGGAAGACCTCCCAGGAGAAGCTGGTGTTGCGGTACGAGGACACCCTGAATAAACTGTCCCAGCTGACCGGGGAGAGCGACCCGGACCTGATGGTGGACCAGTACCTGGAGAGTGAGTGCCTGGCGCGCCAGGGCGGGGGCGAGGAGCGGCCCCCGGCACACCGGGCAGGGGCACGCGGTGCTCTGTCTCGGCCACTGAGGGCCCCCGCAACTCCTGCACCTGCGCCGGAGGAACAGGCGGGTTCTACCGGCACCTCTTACCATGCGCCCGCTTCTGCCCTCTTCCCTCCCCGCCATGTCCTGTCCGCTTCCTTACGTTGGTCTCCCTCTTCTCCGCATGTGTCCTCTCTGCGTGTCTTTATCACTGTCTTTTTATTTCTGTTGGATTTCGCTGGGCGTGGCTGTCTCCCGCCTCCCCCGCGTCCCCTTCCCCTTTCCTCCCCGCTCCCCGCTGTCGTTCTGCCACCTGCGCATCGCTCTCCAAACCCGCCCCCACTCCCTGCTTCTCACTCGTGTCCCTGCTGTTGTCTGTCCCCGGGTCTTATGTTCTCTTTGACCCACCGACACCATGTCCTCTCCCTCACGTCTGTGTGTCTCTCTGGGTATTTCTGGGCTCTTTGCGAATCACTGTGTTGCTCTCTCACTCTGACTTTCTCTGCATTGCCTTTCTCTGCCCGTGTCTCTCGGGCTCTGTCCCCCTGTGTTGTCTGTCTCAACATCCCTTCTCTGTCCTCCTGTGCGTCTCTCTGTCCCCACGTCTCTGGACCCCTGCCTTTCCCTTCCCCCGCTGTCCCCCCAGTGGAGGAACGCAACTTCGCTGAGTTCACCTTCATCAATGAGCAGAACTCCGAGCTGGAGCGTGTGCAGGAGGAGATCAAGGAGGTGGGTGAGACCTGCCAGTCCCGCGTCCGCCCCACCCTTTCTCCACACCTCTGCACCGATCCCCTCATCTGCCCATCAGACTAGCTCCGCCGGAGCTGCACCCAGCGTCCCGCCCCTGCCCCGCAGATGCAGGAGGCCATGGAGAGCATGCGCACCAGCGAGGCCGCCCGGCAGACGCTGCAAGAGCAGCAGGGGGCGGCCTTGCAGCAGACCATACAAGGGGTGCGCTCGGAAGCAGATGACCTGGAGGCCCGCTCCCAGGAGTTTCGGAGGCAGCTGGAGAAGCTCAAGGCCGGTGAGTGCCCGCCCCTCATCTTCATCTGGGAGGATGTGATGAGCATTCGAGGTTCCCACGAAGGACTTTGCTCACTCCTTTGTCCATTGCATGTCCATCATCCGTTCATCCACCCATCCATTCATCCATCCATTCATCCATCTGTTCATCTACCAGTATTCAACCATCTACCCATTCATCTATTCATCTGTCTACCAGTATTCATCCATCCATCCATCCATCCATCCATCCATCCACCCACCCATCCATCTGTTCATCCAACCGCCTGCCCAGTATTCATCCACCCATTTATCCGGCTGCCCCATATCCATCGTCCATCCAGTGGAAGGCACTGATGATTCAGGTTGCCCTGGGCTGGAATCCAGCTCCCCCTCGGTGGACCGTGGTGTGCGCTTTCCTCCGTCTGATACTTTCCGGAAACGGAGTGCAGTGCCTACTTCATAGGGTGGCCAGGAAGAGTAGATGGGATGACAGATGGCAAGACCTGAGGGTGGAGAGAGACAGAAAGGTGGCAGTGTGATGGGGAGCAAGCAGGAAAGCCACCTGATGGCACGCGGGAGGGGCGCAGTTACTGGGAGACCCGCCCCCCCTTCCGCCCCGCGTCGTCGTAGAGGCTGTGCCGAGGCCCGAGCTGGGTGCAGCGGACCCGGTGGGCGTGGCTGGGCTGGGAGGGGCTTCAGGCACTGGCTGCTCTGGACCGGGGGCTGGGATGGAGCAGACCCGGGGCCTTTGAAGCAGGAGTGAGCCGTCACTTGGTGTGGCGGGTGGGACTGTAATTTTGGGGGCCTGGTGCAGAAAAATACGTGGGACCCCTTGATAAAACATGCGTCGAGAATTTCAAGCTGGCAACAGCAGAGCTCAAAGCAAATGCCGGGCCCTCCTGAGCACGGCCCCCGGGCCGCTGCCCAGGCGGCACACCCGCGACAGCAGCTGCGCTGGGGTGACGGGAGGCTTCCTGGGAGCAGCGAAGTTTGTTTGCTGACCCTGAAGGCTGAGCGTTTAACTGAAAGACTGCGAAGGGGCTGCTCCCAGCAGGTGGGCCGAGGCCAGGAGGGGCCTTCACACCCCGTTGTCTGTGCAGATCGGGGAATGCAGGTGCAAGAGGGCCGGGCTGAGGCACTTCCTGGAGGTGCTGGGGAGCCATGGGAGGGTTGTGGGCAGGACAGGGTGGTGGGCAGGGAGGTCAGGGGGCGGGACTGGGGGAGGGGGTGGAGGTATGAGACGGATGGGCCGCGGGGGATAAGGGGTGAGATGCCCAGGCCCGGCCTGGTGCCCCTCCCTGAGGTGGAGTGGGGTTGGGGTGGGTCTCAGTGTGAGTGGCCTGGGGGGCGTTTTGGGGGGGGGACTCCGGGAGGGAGTTGTGTACGTGAGCCAGGCGCTCCGGGGAGGAGGTACAGGGACTGCTGGCGGGCATGTCCATTGTGTGTTTGGGTGCGGTTCCCCACAAGGTCACAGTGCCTTCTTGTTGCACGAACAACAACCCGTTAACTGACCACAGGGAAGTGGGTCCTGCCCTGTCCAGCTGTGTGAAGGGGTCATGGCAGTGACCCGTGGCTCAGCTGGGGACAGCGGTCTACGCAGCCATGCGCACCCGGAGCCCCGAGTCAGAGAAAGGGTGCGTTTGGCTGGAGGAGAGCCCAAGCTGCCAGGTCCGGCGCGAGGCGGGCACTTTGGGCGCAGCCGCAGCAGGAAGGCCCTCGGGGGAGCTGCCTTAGGCTTCCCTTGGCCGCCCCTCGCTGTTGGTTCCGAGCCCGGCGCCAGGCGCACGGCGACGCCCCGCCCACTGCCTGGCTGTCTGCGCCGGGGGACTTCCTCAAACCTCTCTCGCTGTCTCCGTGCGTGGGGACTCCCGGGCGGGAGAGGGCTGGCACCCAGCGGGCTCCGGACCCGTGACAGCCTGTCCCCCACCCCAGGTATCCAGCAGCTGTTCACCAGGGCCCACTGCGACAGCACCATCATCGATGACCTCCTGGGGGTCAAGACTCACATGCGGGACCGCGACATAAGCCTCTTCCTGAGCCTCATCGAGAAGCGCCTGGTGGAGCTCCTGACGGTGCAGGCCTTCCTAGAAGCCCAGGTGGGGAGGAGGGGGCGCGCAGGGGCCAGGGGGGCCCCGCCTCGGAGTCCAGGGCCACCGGGACTGTCCTGAGCTGACCGCAGGCTCCTGCCCTCCAGGGCCACCCCCCCTCCAGCCTGGTGAGCGCTGCCCTGATGGTGCTGGGCCAGAGCCCCGAGGACCTGCCCAAGAAGGTGGCCCAGCCTCAGCTCTCGGACTATCTGTGAGGCCCAGGGAGAGGGGGAGGTGGGAGGGGACGGGGACTCCCTGTGGCAGAGGGGACAGCAGGGATGCAGGATTTGAGGGGGCCTCTTTGGTCCAGAGTGCGGGTGTGGCTCTGGGAGGGGAGAGGAGGTGGAGCCGGTGCTTTGGGGAAACAGCAGGGGCTCCCAGCGGTGCTGTGGAAGGTGGCCCTGGGGTACTCCGGAGGGACAACGCCGGCTGGCCAGAGCTCGCTGCGGGCCTCGGGGCATGGCGATGGGGAGTCCTCGGACTCTCGAGGGTGGAGGGCGCAGTCCCTTCCTGCCTTTCCCCTACTTTAGGGAGGAAACCCAAGGCTTTGAGGCCAAAGAAGACTATCCTATGAGCAAGGAGGAGCTGCTGAGCCACGTGAAGAAGGCAGTGAGGACGGGAGCTTGTGGGGGGGGCCGGGGGGCCGGGGGCGGGGCCTCCAACCTCCTTTGGGGCCTGACCCGCCTCCCTGGCAGCTGGAGGCCCGGGAGCTGGCCCGCGAGCAGAACATGAAGGAGCTGGTAGAAGTGGTGAGGAAGACGGACAGCAACCAGAGCGTGACCCTCTCCGGCACCCAGAAGTCCGGCTCGGGCACGCGGCTGGAGACCACCAAGAGCTCGGCGACGGCCCCCGGGTCTGTCTTCAGCAACAGGACCAGCGGCATCCTGGTGTCCAGCGGAGGCCGCGCCGCCAGCTCCAACGTTGGCCACGTCACCTTCGGTGGCCCAGGCTCCAGTGCAGGCAACGTGACTTCGCCTGGCTCCACCAGCGGCAGCCCGGTCTCGACTGGGGGTCGCGTGACCTTCAGACCCCTCAGCTCGAGCAGCTACCTGGGGTCCACGGGGTACCTGGAGTCCAGCAGAGCCCCCGAAAGCTTTGGAGGTACGCAGATCAGAGGCCCCAAGTCGGAATCCAGCACCGGCCCCCCCTCCAGCACCGGCCCAGGCTCCACCAGGAGCAGAGACTCTTGAAGCGGTGACCAGGGTGCCTGGGCCCCCCAACCCTGCTGCTGCCCCTGCAGGGCCGGCCGGTGTGTCTCTGCCCGCGCCTGCCCGGATTTTCCCTGTGGCTTCGTCTTTCTCTCCCACTTCCAGGCTCTGGTCTCTTCGCCCCCACAGCTGGCTCTGCTTCCCCCGTGGTGACCCCCGTTTGTTTCTGGGGGCTCTTCTCATCCCGTCTCTGTCTCCTGGCCTCGCTCTCCGCTCCACACGCTCCCTCCCCTTTCGGCCTTCCAGCCCCCTGCTCCGCTTCCCACTGGGCGGCGTATCTGGTGTCTGGTTCATGTCACGTCCACTCGCCCGTCCCTCCCCATTTCCCTTTCCTTCTCCTCGTCTGCGTGTCTCATGTCCCTGTCTCGGTAGCTCCTCATTCCTTGCCCCACCCCCAGCAAGAGCCCCCAGTACTGACTGTGGGGGAAGAAGTGGGGCAAACAGATTGGGGTCAGCATGAGCCGTGACCATAGGAAATAAAGATCAGAGCCCAAATTTTCCCCCAGCCTGGTGACAGGTATCTACGTGAGAGAGCACTTGCAAGAGACATGGCTGTTCCCCTACCTTCATGGCCCAGGGGGACATTTATGGCCCGGTTCATTCATTCGTTCATTCATTCAGCCTTTCATTTTGTTGAGACCTCCCCACGTCAGGCTCTCCTGAGAACTGGGTGCGGTATCAGTCAGGATGGGCTGGGTTGTGCTGCAGTAACAAACAACCCCAGGATCTCAGTGGCCCGAATGCAACAGAGGTTTATTACTCCATCGTCATTTGTCAGCCGGGATAATCTCAGACAGTGTCAAGCTCTGTCCTACCTTCTCCGTGGAGACTCAGAGAGTCAGGAAATCAATTTAAGGGGATCTAACCAGCTTTAAAAACAGAAGTAGAGCAGACTAAAACATATTACGCAGGACAGGGTGGTTTTTCACGAAGCTATGTTGCTGACGTGAAATGATTTCTTACCCTGCATCAGAAAAGTTCGGCAGAGGCCACTGGTCCACCGCCCCCAGCTTCAAATACTGATTTCCATGTGACTGACCCACCGGGAACCGCGGACAGCAACTCCTTGGTTCTAAGGCAAACATTTTGGGTGTCCTGGCCACGCTGCTGCCAGGCGGCGCCCGCGTCTGGCCGTAAACCAGTGGTTTCCTTATGGTCCTGCCTGGAGGGACCAAAGATCCCGTTTACCAGGACTAGAAGCCTTGACCATGAATACACTCTCCAAACAAAGTGCAGGGAGGAGGGCTCCAGTCACAGGGATGTGGCCGTCCTGAGATCCATTCACCCCTTCCTCACTCCACCTGTTCTTTAAACGCCTCTGTGTGCCAAAGTCCCTGCTCCCAGAGCTCACATCTGGTGGGGAGTACGGACAAGACCCCAAATCCACGACCTTGTCAGTACCGGGAGGCCTGGTGTGGGGTGGGACAGACGGTGGTGGAGTGGCCCCCGCCCCCCGGCCCCCAGCCCGCTGTGTGACCTTGGGCAGCCTGCTCAGCCTCTCTGGGTCTGTTTCCTCTGCTATAAAATGGGAATAATAGCGTCTACTTCATAGGGTTGTCAGGAGCATTAAGTAATTAATATTTTGTAAAGCACTTTGAAGGGGCCCGGCATATGTTTATAAAACCGATCGTTAAAAACTCAAATTTTACAGCTGTAGGAACTGAGGACCAAAGGCCTGGGGGTGTGAGGGAGGGAAACGCAGGGGGTGGGATGGGCGGGGTGAGGAGGACAGGGCCACCCCGGAGAGTTCTCTTCCCCCACAGGCGGGTCCTTTGTCTCCCAAAGCTGAACTTAGCAGAGCTTTTGGGCGCCACACAGCTGTGGGCAGCCGAGAGAACCCCGTGCCTCTCCTTTCCCCCCTCCCTCCCTCCTTTCCTTCCTTCTCAGGTTTATTAAAGTGTAATTTACACTCTGTAAAGTCCACCCATTGTGGGTTGCCTCCTGCACCCACCCCCACTGGGGATCGAACCCGTAACCTTTTGGTGTGCTGGTGGAAGCTCCAACCCACCGAGCCACCCACCCAGGGCTTAATAATTTTTCATAAATTGAGTGGAGTTGTACGATGATCACCACAGTCCACGATCCCCCAAATTTCTCTCTCGAGGGCATGCAATCACCTCGCTATCCCCGCTGCAATCCCACGCACCCACTGATCTGCTCTCTGTCTCTACCGATTTCCTTTTTTTCTGGAAATTCTGCATGAATGGAACCCAATGCTTGTACAACCCTATTCTGTCTAAAACTCTCTTGTACTGCTCAGACTAGAGCAGTTTCAGCGGCAGTGTTTACAACACCTGTTTATGACACAAAAGTCTCTTTAAAAGTAACCTGCGGGCCGTGAATAGGAAGAAGCGTTCCTTTGAAGGCAGCCCACTCGGGTTCACCTTCCTCCGAACGAAGCAAGGCCTAAAGAAGTATTCAGTGTGATACTGTAAACAGTATCAAAATGAGCCAAAATGGGAAATAGCTGGAGACCGATGCACAGGGGGGTGAGCATAAATATGAGCCAGGGAATGAATAATCTAGAATGTAACCCAGTGGCTTCCTCTGGGGGGTCGGGGGTGTCAGGTAGAATTGCCTGACATTTCATGATGAACTGTGTATGGACCTGGGCGGTGAGTATGTGGCGCTCACCTTACCGACTTTGAACTCTGTGTATGTTTTCATGCACTTTGGGTAGCCACATTTCCCAAAAGAACAGCAAAGCAAACCATCAACCAAACAGAAAGACAGCCCACGGAATAGGAGAACGTATCCACCAATGACACATCTGATAAGGGGTTATTGCCCCAAATTCATAAAGAACTCACACAACTCAACACCAAAAAAACCCCAAACAATCCAATTAAAAAATGGACAAAGGACCTGAACAGACACTTCTCCAAAGAGGACACACAGATGGCCAACAGACATATGAAAAGATGCTCAACATCACTAATCATCATTGAAAGGCAAATGAAAACCACAATGAGATACCATCTCCCACCTGTCAGAATACACATCAATAGATCAACAAACAAGAAGTGCTGGCAAGGTTGTGGAGACAGGGGAACCCTAGTGCACTGTTGGTGGGAATGCAGGCTGGTGCAGCCACTGTGGAAAGCAGCATGGAATCCCCACAAAAAATTAAAATGGAATTGCCTTTAGACTCAGCAATTCCACTTCTGGGAATATAGCTGAAGAAATCCAAAACTCAAATATGAAAGGATATATGCACCTCTATGGTCACAGCAGCATTATTTACAATCGCCAAGACGTGGAAGCAGCCCAAGTACCCATCAGTAGATGAGTGGATAAAAAAGCTGTGGTACGTTTACACAGTGGAATACTACTCAGCCGTAAAAAAGAAGGAACTCCTACCTTTTGGGGCAGCATGGATGGACCTGGAGATGATTATGCTAAATGAAATAATTCAATCAGAAAAAGACAAATACCATGTGATTTTACTCATCTGAGGAACCTAATGAACAAAATAAAATAGAGGCAGACTCACAGATACTGAGAACAGACAGACAGCTGTCCCAGGGGAGGAAGGTGAGGGGCGCTGGGTGAGATAGGCAAGGGGACAACTCACAGACACAGCATCACAGGTGCTGATCACCAGAGGGAAGGGGGGTGGGGGAGGAAAAGGTGGGTACAGGGGGGATAAATGGTGATGGAGAGACTTGACTTTGGGTGGTCAACGCACAAGACTATATACAACTAATGCGTGATAGAATTAAACACTTGAAACCTATATATCTTTATTAACCAATGCCACCCCAATACATTCAGTAAAAATTAAAAAAAAAATTGAAACTAAAAAATCAGGATAGAGAGCAGCCTACTTTTCCATCTCCCCGTCTTCTGCATGAGGAAGCAGATGCTGCAAGATCAAGGCCTGTCTCGTTCTTCCCTTCAACCAGGCCTGCGGGCCAAATCGGGCCTGTGAGCTGGGAACGGCTTTTTATTTTTAAATGATTGGGGAAAAATAATCCAAATGTTACCTCATGATATGTGACAAAAAGGAAATGTGGAAAGCATCTTTCGTGTGGGGTTGTGGTCGGCAGTAAATGAGGATATACATAATGACTTGCTCAGGGTAGTCTTGCCTTGTTCGTTTTTATTTACGGCAGAGTGTATGCAATCTGTTGTGCAGCTTCCATTTTTAAAAGCAATTCTTTAAAACAAATAAGAAGACTTGGCTGGTGTAGCTCACCAGCCTGTAGTGGATTGAGCACAGGACTGAGAATTAAAGGATTGTGGTTCCATTCCCAGTCAGGGCACGTGCCTGGGTTGCAGGCCAGTTCCCGGCAGGGGACGCATGAGAGGCAACCATACATTGATATTTCTCTCCCTCCCTCCTTCCCTTCCCCTGTAAAGATAGATAAATGCAATCTTAAAAAAAGGATGGAAACAAACTTAAAAAATAAAAGATCTCAAAGAAAGAAAGAAAAAAAGAAAGAAAGAAAGAAGACTTACTCATGGTAAAGGGTACACAACCTTTCACCCAGTTTTAAAAAAATCATTGTCAGGCCCTGGCCAGTGTGACTCGGTTGGAGTGCTGTCCTGTAAATGAAAGGGTCATGGTTTCAATTCTCAGTTAGGACACATACCCAGGGTGTATGTTTGATCCCCGGTTGAGGTTTCTATGAGAGGGCGACCAACTGATGTTTCTCTCTCAGATCAATGTTTTTCTCTATGTCTCTCTCGCTCTGCCTCATCTCCCTTCCTCTCAAAAAAAAAAAAAAGAATAAAAAAATGTCCTCAGGTGAGAAAAAAAATCATTGCCAGTAGAGAAGATAGTTAAAACAGACTAGGAAGAACCCACCAGCAATAAAGAAAATGCCAGACTCCTAGAGGTCTAACAACATCATCTCTAAACGCATAAAGCAAGAATTGACAAAACAACGAGACTTTGATAACCCACTTTTAGAGTGGGGTTTTATTATAGGTTTGCTCACTAAAGAATGAGTCCAACATTTTGTTAATGAGATTGCAAAACACTCAAGCAGCTTAACCATTCAGACATGGACTGAACCCTGAGCCCGCCCAATACCAAGAAATACAAAGCATTTTGACATACAAGGAGCAATTAAAAAAAAAACTGGCCACGCGCTAGGTTGATCATTTAGCATTTAACTGAGTGATTAAAAATCTCCCTTAAAATGCTTCTTAATCCAATGAGATAGGGATTTGCTGCATGTAGCAAGTCTAAAAAAATACAGTCTATTGCAGCCATGGATACCCACAAATATGCCATGGGGCAGTGAAAATCTTGCGTTTTGAGGGTTGTGTTATAGGGACCATGACCTTCACCCAGTGATCCCAACGTTGCTGTGCTAATGCAGGGAGTACTGCCCAATCTGCAGAGAGCAATAGGGAGAGAGAGCAAAGGGAACTTGTGTAAGGAAAACTGAGTGGTGAGTGCTGGCTGGTGTGGCTCAGTGGAATGAGCGCTGGCCTGCGAACCAAAAGGTCACTGATTCAATTCCCAGTCAGGGCACATGCCTCAGTCGCAGGCCAGATCCCCAGTAGGGGGTGCATTAGAGGCAACCACGCCTTGCTATTTCTCTCCCTCTCTTTCTCCTTCCCTTCCCCTCTTTCTAAAAATAAATAAATAAACTCTTTGAAAAATAAAACCATTAGGCAGTGATCACTCGGTAACGATATATCTATGTAACCTTAGTAAACAAGGGATACGATCGGGCCATGGAGAGAATCAGCCGCAGGAGGCCAAAATGAAAATCAGGACAAGAAACACCTATTAGCACCATAAAGACCACACACTCTTACCATAACGCAGTCCGATCATGACCAGTAACAACCACCACAGCAAACTGACGAAAGGAGCATTCCACAGCGCATTCAACCTTAACCTAAGTCAGATGTGGCTCTAACAGGGAGCCACGCTGACCACTGGCGAGACCATTTGTACGTAAGTGAACTGTAACGAAGCTACTACACCTCACAATTCACGTGGCAGAGCTGAGAGGGTACAGAGAAGGATACTCATCGTTCTATAGGATTTTATTAGAAGAGAAGAAGTGGAACCAAATGAACTCTGGTTTCCACTGAAGGATGAGACGCCTGGGCAGCAAACATAACGTTCATGGTGTTTCTGTCTGACGTGCACTCACCCGAATCCTGAAAGTGAAGGGCGGGAACCGAAGGCCTGCTCTCGTCCATGTCAGTCTCCTGCCCGGGTGTGGTCTCAGGTGGGACTCAAGAAAGGCGTGTTTGGAGCCCTGGCTGGTGTAGCTCAGTGGATTGAGCGCGGGCCTGGGAACCAAGCAACCACGGTTCGATTCCCAGTCAGGGCACATGCCTGGGTTGCAGGCCAGTTCTCTCCCTCTCTCTTTCCTTTCTCCTCTAAAGATAAATAAATAAAATCTTTAAAAAAAAAAAAAAGAAGAAAGGCGTGTTTGGAGAGGTCTCCCCACATTCCTCACTTGTCTCTGCCCCGAGTTCTTCGTAGGGACTTTTGAATTTGAGATGACACGGGAGGCTTTGCATATGCCTCAGATCCATGAGGTTTCTCTCCAGTGCAAGAAGAAATGTCTCCTCAAGACGAACGAAGCTTAACAGCTTTCCACACATCTTCTCTTCACGAGGCTTTCTCACCCGTGTGAATTTTCCCATTTCTGTTAAGATACAGGTGTTCATGGAAGACTGTTCCCTGTACAAAACTGCTGGAGTTCCCTTCCAATATGGCTTCTTTATTAACTCAGTATTTTGAGAATAAAACTTTCTTTGAGTTCCTTTTATTCTAGAGGGCTCTCAGCTGTTTCAGCTGTGTTTTTCTTTTTCTTTTTAAAGGCTTTATTTATTTATATTTAGAGAGAGGGGAAAGGAGGGAGAAAGAGAAGGAGATAAACATCAATGTGTGGTTGCCTCTTGCGCGCCCCCTACTGGGGACCTGGCTTGCGACCCAGGCATGTGCCCAGACTAGTAACCCTTCAGTTCTCAGACCCGGCTCAACCCACTGAGTTACACCAGCCAGGGCTCAGCTGTGCTTCCTTAGATGGCTTTTAAGTCCTGAATGAACGGCGAAGCCTCTTCCACATAACTTGCAGACATAGGGCCTCTCTCCAGTGTGAGTCCTCACGTGTTTGGTCAGGTCTGAGGACTTCCGGAAAGCTTTCCCACACTCCTTACATTTATGGGACTTCTCCGCCAGGTGCCTCGCGAAATGTTTATTGAGGTGCAAGGAGTATCGAAAGGCTTTCCCGCACGTCTCGCATTCATAGGGTTTATCTCCAGTGTGGATTTTCATGTGTTGCATCAGGAAGGAGTGGTAAGCAAAGGTTTTCCTGCAGTCTTCACACTTGTAGTTCTTCTCTCCGGTCCTGGTACTCCTGTGGGGCTCAGACGCTGCCCCGTGGGCAGAGGTTTTCCCACCTTGGCTGTTCTCATTTTTTGCCTCTGCGGTGTAAGATGGCATCCGCACACCCCGGGGCGAGCTGCCTCGAGAGGTGCTTTCAAATACGTTCAGCGCGAGCGTTTTCTCTTTGACCTGAGTTTCGTCTGTCCCAAGGGCACCGTCTTTGGCGAAGACTGTTTCCGGTAGGTCCCAGCCAGGGACATCAGCACCCGCACACTTTTTATCGTGAAGACGAAGCCCGTGGTTCTGGGCGTCCACCCGTGCGCTGGATTGCGCCTCTGGTGGCGCTGTCTCCCTTGGAGCTGATGGAACGTTCCGCCACCATCCTCTACGGTCCTTGCTGTTTTCAGAGGTTGTGCGGTTACTTGGTGAGACACGACTTGGCTTCCAAGTGTTTGGGGGCCTGTAGTTTCTTGCGGAATCTGCCCGTGAAGGCATGAGCTCGGGGCTCGCTGCAGGGCGCTCCCTCATTTCGGGACGCGCAGGGTCTGGAGCCAGGGACCGGTCCTCCCCTCGGGCAGCTGCGGCGCGAGGCCCTTCCTGCACGAGCTGCCCGCTGGGCTCCCGCGTCCCGGGGCGTTTCCAGTCTCCTCCTGGGGTGGCGCTGTTGCTCTCGAGACGCACTCCGCCGGCTGCACAGCGTGTGGTTGTAGTGAGAATGTCCGGCTGAGAGATGGAGTCTCTGGTTTTAGGCCGAATCGCCCAGTCTGAAACAAAGCAACATAGAAGTTAAATTCTCTGATGAAAGTCAAGGTGGGCTGGAGAGGATGAAACAGGTGAATGCCCACATGGGCTTCTGTTCAAATGTTCGCTCGGATGCAGGAGACAGGCAAATGTGAAAGCAAAGAAAGCGAGAGAAAGCAAACAGAGAGGCCTTAGGACCCTGGGCTGGGTCAGGAGTGTGGCTACGGTTGAGGACCGTGGTTCAGCAAGGACAGCAGGCTGCTCAGAAACGGTCTCCAGCACTGGCTGCTGGGGCTCAGTGGGTTGCCATTGTCCCAAGAACCAAAGGGTCACCAGTTTGAATCCCCAGCAGGGCACATGCCTGGGTTGTGGACCATTCCTGCTTGGCACGTGTGAGAGGCAACTGATCATTGTTTCCCTCCCTCTGTTTTTCCCTCCCTCCCCCCCTCTCTATAAATAAATAAATAAAACTAAAAGAAAAAGAAGAAGAGGAGGAGAACAGAGCTCTGTCCATCATGGGATGACACAACCAGAAATCTGCAAACCAGGCGGCAGAGCTCTCTGGGAGCCAAACTGGCCAGCACCTTGACCTTGAGACATCCCAGCCTCCAGAGTGTGAGCACCAATGCCCATGGCCTGATGCCCAGTCTGTGCTGTTCGGTCCCATCAGTCTGAAAGGAGGAGGAGAGTGTTCATGTGCGATTTTAAAGATGAAGGGGGACAGGTCTTCCTTTGGGAACAAGAGAGGCTATGAGAAGAGGAAGGAGAAGTCAACTTTTCATGCACCCAGTGAAGCTTGCAGAGACAAGCCTCAGCCTTCCTTGCAGATGAAATGGACTTTTAAAAAAACTCAGGGTGAAATTCACGCAACATAATGTTTTCAGGTTTGGCCACCCTGTCAGCTACACCTGGAAGTCATTCTCTTGCATGGGTCATGGGTGCAGAATACGCTGTGGTTTGGATCGAGCACAATCGATTTCTCTGGGCATCTGTTGATGGACAGTGGGGTTCCGCCCACCTTCTGGCTACTGGGCTCCGCCCCTGCTGCACCCCACTTGTAATTCCTTTGGGTCTCTACTATGGAGTGGAATTGCTGGATCATACCGTCATTCTGTATTTCTTTTATTTTAAAATATTTCATTTATTTATTTCTAGAGAGAAGGGAAGGGAGGGAGAAAGAGAGGGAGAGAAATATCCATGTGTGGTTGCCTCTCACGCGCCCCCTACTAAGAACCTGGCCTGCAACCCAGGCATGTGCTCTGACTGGTAGTCGAATCAGTGACCCTTTGCTTCTCAGGCCAGCACTCAATCCACTGAACTACACCAGCCAGGGCTGTATTTCATTTTTCAAGGAACCTCCAGCATGTTTTCCACAGTGGGTGCTAGGAATCTCCAGTTTTCTCTGGAAGGCACCAAAACGCTGGGCCCCGAAGTCACCCATTTAAAGGGTTCCCCAAAGGCTATTACTCACGAGGTGAATAAAATGTCATGCAACGAACAGGGGAAACCCTGCACCTACCACAGCAGTAGCCCTGTCTCTGGAACCCAGCACGCCCTGTCCCCTTCCTCAGCAGCCTCCCGAACGCAGGAGGCGGGGCCGGTCTCTCCTCCAACCCGCAGCCGCGGAGCGCGCAGGGATAACACCCTCTACCTATGCAGGCCAGGTTCCGGAAGTTCTCCAGCATCACGTCTCGGTAAAGATGCTTCTGCTCCAGGTCCAGCAGGCTCCACTCCTCCTTGGTGAAGTTTAATGTCACATCCCCGAAGCTCACCGGGTCCTAAAATTAAACACCTGGCTCAGTTGGGGTGCTTTGAGGAGGAGAGTCGGGTCCCCTCCCAAACGTAACTTGAAATCCTAACCCCCAGGACGTGGGATGTGATCTGATTTGCAAACGGGACTTTTGTCGATGTGAAGGAGCGAAGGTGAGGTTGCACTGGGGTCCGGCGGGCTCCAGAGAAGAGGAAATGTGGTCACACAGAACGAGGCACGTTATACAATGAAATAACAGCGGAAGTGGTGTCGGGAGGAAAGCAAAGGACAGACAGTCTCAGGTTGCATGGAAAATGGTCCTACTTCCTACCTAAAGGCAAATTAGGCACAATGTACCAGACTTTTATGTACATTTATTCCTTGACCCAACATTTGCACTCCTAGGATGGTATTACCACCATGTCCTGGTCAAAAAGCCAAAAATGACAGATACATACATTTATTTCTTTAAGGTGATTTCTGACAGCCAATGAGTGAAAACCACCGCAAATGTTCAATAACAGGGATTGCTTAAAAGTCTGTGCCGCAGCCCTGGTTGGTGGGGCTCAGTGGATTGAGCACCAGCCTGTGAACCAAAAGGTCACCAGTTCGATTCCCAGTCAGGGCACATGCTTGGGTTGCAGGCTAGGTCCCCAGTAGGGGGCGCACAGGAGGCGGCCACACATTGCTGTTTCTCTCCCTCTCTTTCTCCCTCCTTTCTGCTCTGTCTAAAGTAAATAAATAAAGTCTTTAAAAAAGAAAAGAAAGGGAAGCAGACCTCTCTCCAGGTGACCTGGCTGCTAAAAGCAGTATTACCATTCTTCTTACAAATATTTCATATTCACTGCAGGATCAGGCAAAGGGATTAAGTTAATGTCAGGAAGCAAGCTTTTTCGTCTAAGAAGGATTCAACTACAAAGTGAAGAAAGTTTTTAAAAGTCAGCTTCATGGAAGGTTATCAGCATGCACACACGACCAGTCTATGCAAAGAAAATGGTTTGAGGGGAAGCATTTGAGATCTCGCTCTGGTGGCATGTCACCAGTTCGGCTCAAGTAAACTCTTAAACAAATAAAAATAAATAAATAAAAAGATTAGGAGGATGTGTAAGCAGGAGGCAAAGAGAAATGGCTGATCCAGGAGTCGGAAATATGAAATGGGAGTCGGAAGTATCTTGCGGTGCCAGAAGGCAGAGACATCGTCTTAGAACATGTCAAGTGGATGTGGATGGTGTGATCAGTGGGTTGGGCAACTCTCCGTGGACTGTAAGTTCGCTGGTTCGATTCCCAGTCAGGGCATATAGTGGGCCAGGCCCAGGTCCCCAAGTGGGGGCATGCAAGAGGTAACCAACTGATGTTTCTTTCCCTCTCTCTCTTCTTCCCTACCCCTCTCTGAAAATAAATAAATGAAGAAGAGAGAAAGGGTGTAAGTGGTCAAGGCCAAAGCTTTTGAATGGCCCAATTTCAAATATCCTGAAGAACAAAATCTCAACTGGTTGAATACACTGAATACTAAAAGCACATGAACTCAGAAAGGGAGCTGATATGGGATGAAAGACCATTTCTCACTGCTGGGTGCAGCTCAGTCCTTAATCTGAAACTCAGTCAATAAAGACAATGATCAGAACTCCAGGTAAAAACCTAGAAGAAATGATTACACTGAAAAGCCAGCATTTTGCAACTCAAATGAAATAACTCATCCAGAAACAAACACTCATGGCTGCTAAGACACGTCGATGTTTTACATAATGGCAACTGGTTGCCTCTCACACGCCCCCTACTGGGGACCTGGCGTGCAACCCAGGCATGTGCCCTGACTGGGAATCGAACCACAACCCTTTGGTTAGCAGGCCGGCGCTCAATCCACTGAACTACACCAGTCAGGGCTCAAAAAAATTTTTTAAAGATTTTATTTATTTATTTTTAGAGAGAGGGGAAGGGAGGGAGAAAGAGAGGGAGAGAAACATCAATGTGTGGTTGCCTCTTGAATTCCCCCACTGAGAACCTGGCCTGCAACCCAGGCATGTGCTCTGACTGGGACTCAAACCAGTGACCTTTTGGTTCACAGGCCAGCACTCAATCCAGTGAGACACACCAGCCAGGGCTCCATAGGTCTAACTTTCATCCACACACAGACCCACAACTGGAACCAACGGTCAAGGTCATGAACAAAAGGGAGGCAAGTTCCTGTGAGACTATGAAACCTGAAAGAGAAACGTCACTTACACAGCATGTGAGCACCCTGGTTGAAAGAAATCTAATTCTAAAGTGTATTTTTGGTAGAAATGTGAAATATGAACTCCAACCAGGTGGATTATGAACTTTATTTTTTCAAAGCCATGCAAATGGCTGATTCCTTAATGAGGACCCGCATGTTAATGATATTATTTTAAAATTTGACCTGAAGAAGAGAAAAAGTAGAAAAATTTGACTTGTATAAAGTGTAATGTATTTTCATCTTTATAAAATTTCTTATTACATATTAAGCAAACTTGGTTTAAAACTTTATTATATTTAGCCCTGGCCAGGTGGCTCAGTTGGTTGGAGTATTGGCTCTGTACAGCAAAAGCTTGCAGGTTCAATCCCCGGTCGGGGCTCACACCTAGGTTGTGGGTCCACTCACTGATCAGGGCACATAAGGGTGCAACTGATCAATGTTTGTTTTTTCTCTCTCTTTCTTATCAATAAAACATATCCTGATACAAGGATTTTTAAAAATTAAGAACGAAACAACAAAAGCACTTTTTTGTTTACTCTGCCATGTAATCTTACAGCCAATACACTCTTTCCAAAGCTCAGAAATGCAAAAGAGTTTCCTCAGCGTTGAGGTTAAATTATGGAAAGCGTCAAATGCACTGTACAGTGAGGGAAGTAAAAGCGAGGCCCTGGCGCACCATTCACCCAGCTTCCACACACGGTCCGTCTTCCATGTCTTCCAGATGGCCTGACTTTTCATTCTTAAACACTGCCATTGTCTATCTCCATAGCATGAGGGGTCTTTGAAAAATACGATCACATTTTCACGTTGAGCAGCGCTGGCAGTCGCTTTTATAGAATGAAACATCTAGTCCATTTCCAAAACCAGACCTACACAGGTGTTCAATTGCTTAAGCCTTTTACAATCTATGATCATCCCTTATCCTTCTATTCGCTATAGAGGAGTGTGCAAGGAGCTCACTGCCATGAAATAAAGGTGCCTTGAAAAGCTATCCAAGGATCTATAGAAACCGTTACTTCTGGGTGGCCGGGAGCTGTGAGTAGGGTGTGCAAAGGCAGGATGGGGGATTTCAAGGTTTGCCCTGATCGTCTTCACTTTTTAAACACATTGATCTGTTACATATTAAAAAAAAAAAAAAAACCGAAAACCAAAAAACAGCCCTGGCTGGTGTGGTTCAGTGGATTGAGCACCAGCCTGTGAACCAAAGGGTCGCTGGTTCAATTCCCAGTCAGGTCACATGCCTGGGTTGTGGGGCAGGGTCCCCAGTTGGGGGACGGGTGAGAAGCAACCGACTGATGTTTCTCTCACACGTCGCTGTTTCTCTCTTTCTCCCTCCCTTCCCCTCGCTCTAAAAAGAAATAAAATCTTTACAAAAGAATAACTGTGGCATTCAGTTATTAAATGCTTGGGGACAAAACTAGAGTCGTAGGGGGGAGAATGTGGGTTTTCCCCAGAATGTATCAGGGGGAAACCTTAGACCGAGAGTGAGTGTGTTGCAAAGTCAGAAATTTTTTTTCTAAAGATTTTATTTATCGTTAGAGGGGAAGGGAAGGAGAGAGGGAGAGAAATATCAGTGTGTGGTTGCCTCTCGTGAGTCCCCTGCTGGGAACTGGCCTGCAACCCAGGCATGTGCCCTGACTGGGAATCAAACCGCAATTGTGTGGTTTGCAGGCCTGCGCTCAATCTACCGAGCTACACCAGCCAGGGCAGAAAGGTTTTTTTTTCCCCCCTTTTTTCTACTGTTTTAACTCATTGAAGAAACTTGGTCCCTAACAGTCATGGCCTACTCTATGGTGAACGCAGGCAGTCTGGCTTCCTCACCCGGAGGCCTGGGCAACTAGGGCAGCAGTTTCCCGGGGCCTTGAGGACGGGCCTGATAAGCGGTGTTCTCACAGCCTTGACCATGGATTCGACAGTCCGTTCCCCCGGCCTTGAGCCGGCCCGCATGCGCAGAATGAAGTTCCGTTGTAGATTCCTGCCAGCTTTGCCTACATTGTTGTTTATGTTTCTATTTTGTACCTTATTTTTACAATTTTTAGGAAAGATTTTATTTATTTATTTTTAGAGAGAGGGGAAGGGAGAGAAACATCAATGAGTGCTTGCTTCTCGCACGCCCCCTACTGGGGATCCTGACCCATAACCCAGGCACGTGCCCTGACTGCGAATAGAATCGGCGACCCTCTGGTTTGCAGGCTGGCGCTCCAGCCACACCAGCCAGGGCTGTATTTTAATATATAAGGCAGTTGGACTTCCCACTGAGAGAGAGGGGACAGGTGACGTGCTGTGTGACACTCAGTGACACGCAGGGGGCACACAGCTTGCGTGGACCGCCCATCCTGGAAGAAGGGCTTGGTCAAGTGTCCCCCTGTGAACATTCTTCCCTCTGCCAACCTGCCCAGTTTCGAACAGCGGCTACACACCCGCCTACAACGTGGCTGCTGGACCTCATATCGGTAAGAAAGGAACTGGCCACTCCCGCCTGGGGCATCTAAGTCCCTGATACAGAAGCACAGTGACAGATAAGGGGTTTGGAGGGCAGCATCCACAGCTATCAAGAGTTTGTGGTTTCCAAGGAAACAGCCAGCTGGGGATGATAAACCCTCACTGAAATTTGCACTGTCCCCCAATCCTGTAACCAATGACCCGCACCCTTCCTCTCTCTGGCAGGCTCCTCTGGGGTGCGGCCTCCCCTGCTCGCAATAAACCAGTACAGCGGGGGCCCCAGTCTCGTCCCCCGCGATCTCGGGTGTGTCAGTGTGGGACGACGGGAACGAGGGAAAAGACACATCTGGCGGTGACTCCCCTGCCACCCTCCTTCAGCTTGTCCTTTTAAAAACTCCCTCTGGGGGTGGGGGGTCTCCGTTCACCAAAGAGAAGGATGTGCCCGTCTGACTGTGGAAGAAAAGGAGGCCTCGTACTTACCCCGACAAGCTCAGGGGAGGCCAGCGTGGCGGCCTTACAAACTCAGAGACCCGAAGTGACCACCACAGGGGAGTCTGCAAGGAAATACTTCCTACTCCACCAGACCAGAAGCTGTTCCAACCTTTGTGCTCCTGGAGGGACGGGGCACCGTCACGATGGAACCTGAGGCTTTGCACCCCAGGGGGAGATGCCGGCCGCCCAGGACACAGCTGAAAGAACGGGGCAGCTTTTATCCGGTAAACTGTTCCCTGAATTCCAAACCCCTTACTCGCACTTTTCCTTGTCCAAGAAACTCCAACCAAACTCAAACCTCCGAGCCCTTTCTCTAGAAGAACCCAGGCCGCAGCCTTTCTGACTGCCTGGAATTTTCCAGCTCACCCCAGTGCAACCGACTCCGACGCTTGCACGCTTTTTGGGATTCAACTAAGTAACACAGTCCCGCCCGGGTCAGGGGCGTTTTGCAAGGTTGCAGCAAACCCCACTGCACCCCACGCCCCGGTGAAGGTTGAATTCAGAGCTCAACAAGTGGGCGGCTCCTGGCTTCCCTTCTCCTCCCCCGCGGAGAGGGACTTTGGCAGAGGGCTGCTGGCAACTCCTCAACCCGCCCCGCCCCGGGCGTGGGCGACACCCCAGCGGGCACAGCACACGCTCACCATTTCAGCAGCACCAGCTCCTGCTGCAGCGCAAGAAGCAGCTCGTTCCAGGTGCGATAGGGCTGCCGACCGGCCGACCAGAGCTCTGGGGCTGTACAAACAAGAATAATCCAATAAACCATTAATACATTTTTTCCCCTTTCCCCAGGAGGGACCCGGGGCAGAGGGGCGCCCTGCCCAGGAATTCCGTTTTCGCTGCCAGGGTCCCTCATCAAAGTGGAAGGGTCAGGGAGTTCTCCGGAGGAGGACCAGACCCCTCAGAGTGCAGGGTCCGACCTGGCGGGGGGTACTTTTGCACCGCCCCAGGCGCCCCTGATCCTGGGAGGTGTGGGACATTCCAGCGTCCGGCTTGCCTCCCAGTCTTGGACCCCCGCTTTCTCCTCCTCCAGCCTTGTGACCTGCCCCAGGGACACTGAATTCGTCCCCCCAGAACTTTAGGTATTTATATTCTAAATGCCCTGTGGGCATCGTTTCTTCTCTGGGGACTTTATACAATGAACTCCCCCCCACCCCCAGCGAAGTCCCTGAGCGGCTGAACTACTCGGACTTTATCAGGGACAAGTGTCCTGGCGGCAGGCTCCGTGATACCCCTTGCTTGGCTGTGATATCAAAAATAATTTCAGTCTTAAAACTTGAGACAAAGAAATTACACTCCCTCCCCACAGGCCCATAGCCTCCTCCCTTACCAACATCACTCATCAAAATGCTACTTTTTTTTTTTCAACCAGAGACGAACCTATATTGACACATCATAGAAGTCCGTGGTTTACCTGAGGGTTTACTCTCAGTGTTGTGTCTTGTATGGCTTTGGACAAACGCATAGTGACATACATATCATTATAGTGTCGTACTCCCTAAACACACTCTGTGCTCTGCCCATTCATTTCTAAATGAAAACTGTGTATTTTTTTAAGTCCCGACTCCCTGTGGCCTTCCCGACCTCCTCCGCCCCTGGCAACCTCTCCTCAGTGCTACGAATTGGACTATTCTTCATACCTCATGGAAGCACGATCATACGATCTTCATTCTTTCGTGTCTGGTTTATTTCACCTGTCAACCGATGGTCACTGGCACCCCTTCGACTGCCACAAGACCTACCAATTTCGGGTGCAGTTGAATCAGCTCAATAATGAGACAGCACGGTTGTGAGATGGCACCCCCTACAAGGTGTCCCTGAGACGAGATGTCCCTCCTGTGCCACTCCAGGCCACCCTGGCCAGCTCCGGCCAGATGGTCCCCTGGGAAACACAGTCTCCAGTCTTGGGTGAAATGAGACACTGTTCTACCTGGGGGCTGACTTATATGGCTAGAAGTCTCTGTCCCTGGTCCCCTATTGGTCTGCTCTCATGCAAATGAGGACTCCATATTCTCACCATTTAATTGGTCCAAAAAGTACTGTCCTGATTGGACAGAGTGAAGCTGACCTCATTGGTTGGTAGGGATGCTAATGAGGATACAACTGCACAGGTCTGATTGGACAGAGAAAGTCTGAGTCCTTTGGTTGAAATACAGTTCTGGGAATTCCTTTATAAGGGTTGGTTTGGGGCGGGAGCACAGTGCAGGCCAGCGGTTTATTTTGTTTATTTTTAAAAAAACTTTTAAATATATTTTATTGATTACACTATTACAGTTGTCCCATTTCCCCCCCTTTATTCTCCTCTGCCCTGTACACCTGTTCCCAACAGCATTACCCCCACCTTAGTTCATGTCCATGAGTCAGACATATAAGTTCTTTGGCTTCTCCATTTTCTGTACTGTTCTTAACCCCCTCCCCCCCGGTTTATTTTCTACCTACTTCTATGCTTCTTATTTCGAGTATCTTTTCCCCCATTTTCCTACTTCCCCCTCTCCACTGATAACCTTCCATGTGATCTGCATTTCTGTGCTTCTGTTCCTGTTCTAGTTGTTGGCTTAGTTTGTTTTTTGTTTTTGTTTTAGGTGTGGTTGTTAATAATTGTGAGTTTGTTGTCATTTTACTGTTCATATTTTTATCTTCTTTTTCTTAAATAAATCCCTTTTACATTTCATGTAATAATGGCTTGGTGATGATGAACTCCTTTACTTTTTATCTTGTCTGGGAAGCCCTTTCTCTGCCCTTCCATTCTAAGTGAAAGCTTTGCTGGATAGGGCAATCTTGGATGTCGGTCTTTGCCTTTCATGACTTTGACTACTTCTTTCCAGTCCCTTCTCGGCAGGCTGGCAGTTTAGCGCAGGCTTCTCCAGGAGAGGTGGCTTGTGTGGGAGGTCCCCGTCTAGCAATTTATACTCAGCATTGAAAGGGGAGCCCAGTTAGGCACCAGAGCCCTTCTCAACAGGTGCATTCACTTTCCAGGTCAATACATTTCACATCATGTCTCCAAGGTTCATCTACATTGAGGCATATACAAGTAGTCTATTCCTTTTTTTCCCAGATGGGGAATTTTACTGGCAACTTCTCGGTTTGCAGAACGATGCCTCGCCAGTCAGGGGGCTAGTCCATTCCTTTTTATGGCTGAATAATATTACGTTTCTATCCATTCACCCATCCATGAACCTGTGGGTTGTTTCACCTTTTGGCTGCTGTGAGTTATGCTGCTATGAACAGTGGTGTACAAAAGCACCAGGTTTTCCTGAAATTAGTATTTTTATGGTATAATTTATTTTAAGGATTTTCCCTTCCACTCTTTGGTATCATTATAATTAAATTGCACTGCCAGTAATCACTATAATTGCATTTTTTAATCCTGTCTGACAAACTTCATCTTTGAATTGGAGTCAATCCATTCATATTTAATGTAATTAGTGATAAAACTGTATTTAAATTTTTGACTTCCAAAACAAAAGTTATTTTACCAGCAAAATGGGTTTATTTGGGGATAGCAAGGAATTGCAATTCAAGGCAAGCAAACTGTAAGTAAAAGCCATAGACGAATCCAAGAAACAATGAAGAAAATTTTTTTATGGAGAAAAAAGAAATTGGGAGGGGTTGTTTTGAAAGAAAGCCTGTTGGGGAAAAGTGAGAATTCAGGGAGATGGTGGTTTGTCATTGGCTGAGCTGCTGTGGGAGGCAATTTTTTTTTTTACAATGTACACCTTCTCCTGTTGGGGCCCATAAGTGATGATTCTTTCATGGAGGAATCTTCAGCCTGTAATTGACAATTCTTCCTGTAATTGACAGGGAGTGGTGCCAGGAGAGCTGCCCCTTCTGGCCTCCCAACTCCATTTTAGTGAATCTTCCCTTTATTAATTTTCACAAATTAATAAAATCTGCCACTTTACCATTTATTTTATATCTTTCCATATTCTCTACTATTTATTGTATATGTTTCCTTATTGTTTGGTGTTCCTTTAGTTCTACTTCTTACCTACTTTTGGGTTATTCCATGATCCTCTAAGTTAGTCAATCTTAAATTTTTTTCCAGGAGTTGCCACGGTGCACGGTGGACTGCGGTGTCTTAGAGCCCTGTGGCCATGGGGCTGGACAGTGGCTGTGGCTGCTGGTGCAGCAGCACCTGGAAAAGTATTAAATGTTGAGGAAAAGTTGGATTTCATCCTATTGTCATCAGAAAGATACTTTCAGGACTTCCGGTCAAGATGGAGGCATAGGTGAACACACTTTGCCTCTTTGCACAACTGCAGAAAAAAAAAATATATAACCAAGCCTCACAACAAATAACACCCAGAATGGTCAGAAAATCGAGCTGGATGGAAGTCTGACAACCAAGCATTTAAAGAAGACACATTCATCCAGGTGCCTTTTCTACAAGAGGCCACTCTACTAAGACATGGAGTCAAAGCAGCTCTACCTGCTCTGTTTCTATACAGAAACAAACACAGGGAGGCCACCAAATTGAGGAGACAGAGAAACATGGCCCAAATAAAAGAACAGAACAAAACCCCAGAAAAAAACCGAAATGAAATGGAGATAGCCAACCTAACAGATGCAGAGTTCAAAACAGTGGTCATCAGGATGCTCAGAGAACTCACTGAGTACGGCAACAACATAAGGGAAGAAATGATGGTTACACTAGTGAAATAAAGAAAATTCTACAGGGAACTAACAGCACAGAGGATGAAGCCAGAATTTAAATCAATGATATGGAACATAAGGAAGAAATAAGCATTCAACCAGAACATCAAGAAGAAAATAGAATTCAAAAAATGGGGACAGTATAAGGTGCCTCTGGGACATCTCCAAATATACCAACATCTGAATTACAGGGGTGCCAGAGGGAGAAGTGGAAGAGTAAGAAATTAAAAACTTACTTGAAAAAATAATAAAGGAAAACTTCCCTAATTTGGTGAAGGAAATAGACAGATGAGTCCAGGAAGCACAAAGTCCCAAACACATTGGACCCAAAGAGGACCACACCAGGACACGTCATAATTAAAATGCCAAAGTTTAAGAATAAAGAGAGAATCTTAAAAGCAGTGACAGAAAAGCAGAGAGTTACCTACAAAGGAACTCCCATAAGACTATCAGCTGATTTCTCAAAAGAAACTTTGCAGGCTAGAAGGGACTGGCAAGAAGTATTCAAAGAGATGAAAATCAAGGACCTACACCAAGATGACTCTATCCAGCAAAGCAATATTTAGAATGGAAGGACAGATAAAGTGCTTCCCAGACAAGGTAAAAACTAAAGGAGTTCATCACTACCAAGCCATTATTACAGGAAATGTTAAAGAGACTTATTTAAGAAAAAGAAGAAGACCAAAACTATAAACATTAAAATGGCAAACAAATTCACAACTATCAACCACTGAATCTAAAAAAGCAAACTAAGCCAACAACCAGAACAGGAACAGAATCACAGAAATGGAGACCACATGGAGGGTTATCAGTGGGGAAGGGAAGGGGGGAGAATGGAGAAAAAGGTAGAGGGAATAAGAAGCATAAATGGTAGATACAAAATAGACAGGAGGAAGTTAAGAATAGTATAGGAAATGGAGAAGTCAAAGAACTTATAAGCACGACCCATGGACATGAACAAATTGGGGGGGGATTGCTGTAGAGAATTGGGGTACTGGCAGAGGGGGGCAAAGGGGAAAATTGGGACAACTATAATAGCATAATCAATAAAATATATTTTTTTTCAGAAATCACCCTACAGGTCTCAAAATGAATTCTTGACACAAATATCTAGTATGCAATGATAATTTTACTACAGTGAAGACAATGTAAAGATCATTACAATCTATTGTATTTTGAAGTAGTATGTGTTATAAATCTGATAGAATGGTATCATTGCTATTTTATAAAATATTAATTTATATTTATATTTACTTATTTTTCCCATTGCTATTTTTGTTCTTTCTTTTTTTAAAATTTTTTTATTGATTATGCTGTTACAGTTGTTCTATTCCCCCTTTATTCTCCTCCACCCTACCCCTCATCCCCACCATTACCCCCCTTTAATTTATGACCGTGTGTCTCAAGTCCTTTAGATTCTATATTTCCCATGCTATTCTTGCCCCCCGTCTATTTTCTATCTACTGTCTATGCTACTTATTTTCTGTACCTTCTCCACCCTTTTCCTCCTCAGACTCCCCTGTTGCTAACCCTCCTTGAGATCTTCATTTCTATGTTTCCACTCCTGATCTAGCTGTCCTTGTAGTTTGCTTTTGTTTTAGGTGTGGTTGTTAATAACTGTGAGTTTGCTGTCCTTTCACTGTTCATGTTTCTTTATCTTCTTTTTCTTAGATAAGTCCCTTTAACATTTCATATAATAAGGGCTTGGTGATGATGAACTCCTTGAATTTGATCTTATCTGAGAAGCACTTTATCTGTCCTTCCATTCTAAATGAAAGTTTTGCTGGATAGAGCAATCTTGGTTGTAGGTCTTTGGATTTCATGACTTGGAATACCTCTTTCCAGCCCCTTCTTGCCTGTAAGGTCTCTTTTGAGAAATCTGCTGACAGTCTGATGGGGACTCCTTTGTAGGTGACTGTCCCCTTAGCTCTTGCTGCTTCTAGGATTCTCTCCTTCATTTAAATTTTGGCTAATATAATTATGATGTGCCTTGGTGTGTTCCTTCTTGGGTCCAACTTCTTTGGGACTCTCTGAGCTTCCTGGATTTCCTGGAAGTCTATTTCCTTTGCCAGATTGGGGAAATTCTCCTTTATTATTTGTTCAAATAAGTTTTCCACTGGTGGCTGTGCCTTTCCCCCTTCTGGTACCCCTATAATTCGGATGTTGGAGCGTTTAAAGATGTCCTGGAGGTTCCTAAGACTCTCCTCATTTCTTTGAATTCTTGCTTTTTGACTCTTTTCTGTTTGGC